ATGATGATGATGATGATGATGATGATGCCGGCTAGAACTGGTGAGACATTTAGAAGGCCATAAGTTCCCCAACAGTGCTCCAGCCTTTGCCTGCTCTCATTTTGCACTGCCACATAGTGATGACTAGCATAGCTCCTGGGTTTACATCACTTTAATAGCCATGACCTCTATTAAAAATTGCTCAGGGTTGAACTAGATGAGACAATCAGTTCCACATTTAGAAGTAGTCCTCCTTAAAGTATAAAATACTAAAAAAACAGCATGTTCGTTCAATTCCAAATATGCGTCCTCTGCACTTTGGTAAATTATTATTAAAATGAACTGGAATGGGGTTCTCATGTGTTCTCACTCATCAGAGTATGCAGAGAAGGACTGGTGGTTGAACTGGAGTAGCTTCTCTGATGCAAGTCCTCTGTGCTCCTTAATTGTGGCAAATCATGTCCGAAAAGAGATCTGGTATAGATAAATAGTATGTAGGTGTGGGTGATATATGTGACTAGAATGATGTGACTAACTGCATCATCCTATGTGCACTTTCTTCAAGGCAAGGCTCACTTCTTACTCTAGAGTAAATGCACATCGGATTTGCTACAATCCTAGTCGCCAGAAGTAGGCTATACATGGCCCCAAAGGCTAAGCCTGGCTGTAGCCTCCCCACCTGTGTTGACTTTCAGCTGTTGCTGCAATTGCTCTTTCAAGAAACTGTAAGAGTGTCAACAAACCCAATGCTCTGAAAGGAACGAATACATACTCAAATCTCCTTCACTTCCTTGTTTCTGTCTGAGGGGGAAAAAAGAAACTGGGCCAATCTTCTTCTCTTTATTCCACCCTACAAGCATAACCACAATGCGAAGTTGCCACCTCTGCTCCTCTTCCTTCTCCTGCAACAGGTCATTATGGTATAAGAAGATGCTCTGAAAGCTTCCAGGGGAACAGAAGTAGGGATGAGAGTTTTGGATTTCTTGGACTACAAATCCCATGGTTCCCCATTCTTGGTGTTCTACCTTCATTTGCAGACCGCTCACCGGGGAGAAAAGGCTGAAACTGGAAGGCTTTGGAGCTCAGCTAGGCCTAGGCCCATCTGACTTCCTGTTCAGAAGGAATACTCCCAGCTAGCACTGGGGCAGGAACAGAAAGCTTCAGTAAAGCTAAGCCTCAAAGCTTTCCAGTTTAGGCCTCTGCTTCCAGATCAGTCACATTTAGGTGTTTGTGAGGTGTGTCTAAGTCATCTAGACAAGTGGTCCCTAACCTGGGGCCTCCAGATGTTCTTGGACTTCAACTCCCAGAAATCCTGGCCAGCAGAGTTGGTGAAAGCTTCTGCTAGTCCAAGAATATCTGGAGGCCCAAGGTTGGGGACCACTGATCTAGAGCTCCCATGATGGGGAATTATGGGATATGTAGTCAAAGAAATCCAAAAATCCCACCCTAAACACAAGTATAGCATGTCGTGTCCGACTCTAGGGTGTGGTGCTCATCCCCGTCTCTAAGCCGTAGAGCCAGTGTTTGTCTGAAGACAGTTTCTGTGGTCACGTGGCCAGTGTGACTAGATATGGAACACCATTACCTTCCCACCAAGGTGGTACCTATTTATCTACTCACATTTTTACATGCTTTCGAACTGCTAGGTTGGCAGGAGTTGGGACAAGTGACGGGCGCTCACTCCATCATGTGGATTCGATCTTACGACTGCTGGTCTTCCGACCTTGCAGCACAGAGGCTTCTGTAGTTTAACCCGCAGCGCCACCACATCCTGAGGTAGAACCTTAGCTTGTCATAAATTAATGTGGCAAGCAAGGTAGAACAGATACCCAGCTCCAACCGCAAAGCAGCTATCAGGCCAACCAGCCAAATAAATAAAATAGCACAAAACAGTATTGAAAATATCCTGTAGACTCTAACAGGGAAAGTAAATAAACCCTAGAAGACTATATCTCTCCAACCATCTAACTTTTCTAACTAATAAAAGCAGATTTCAAAGAAGTTACTATGTTAGTCTGTGTGATTGTATCAGACAACAACAATAATAACAGAGAGAGAGAGACAAAAATGTTGTGGCACCTTTAAGGCTAAATGCTTAGATTTTAACGTGAGCTTTTGTGGATCAAGTCCACTTCCTCAAACATAAGAGTGAGGCTATATGGAGGTCATATTTATGCATGGCCCCATGACCAAGTGGGATTACAAATAATGGACAAGGTAAAAGTATTTTGTTAGTAACGGAATAAGCTCATCAGGCCATGAATAATTTTAGTTATCAGTCTACAAGGTAACAATAACATAGTTGACATGTTTGGCAAACTGTGGGAATCATTGTAGGATTTCACAATTGGTAATGGCTTAAATATCCTTGATGATATTCAACCCTTTAAAAGGACTGAATATTTAAAAGGACTAAAAATCAATATACATTTTTTTAAA